GTGAATCTTTTTTAGTTGGGCCAGCCTGGTCTACAGAGTTAGTTCCAGGACAGGCTCCAAAGTAATACAGAAAATCAACCCCCTCACTCCCAGCCCCCAAGAAAAGAAAGAAAGAAAAAGTAATTTTCCAACACAGAGAACCAGAGCTCTCTGGAGGACAAGCTGAGGGGAATACAAAGCAAGCTGGAAGCACCTAGTCATGTCTGACTGAAGGACAGAAAGCATCTGGTTATGTCTGACTGAGGGAAAGCATTAAAGGAAACAAACAAAAAACAACAAAAAAGATGACAGGTACCCTGCACACAGGGGCCAATCACGAGTCATCCCAGCGGTTTCACAGATGGAAGAATTTGGTTAATGAAATAGATAATATGGCAATAGATTGCAACCCAGAATATACAGGAAGTGTGAGGAGTCTCTACAGATATCTTTGTATAAGGGAGTCAGAGGTCATTTGATGTTTATTTAACAATTTCATTATTCATTCTACTTCACTCCTCTTTTTGTTTAAGTAACATACTAGCATGCACAGTTGTCAGGGGACAGCCTTCCAGGTCTCTCCTTCTACCAGGGGACTTGAACTCAGATGGCCAGGCCTGGAGCCAGGAGTGTTTACTTACTCAGCTTCTTTCTTAACCAATGTTCATAACGCATTCACAGCATTCAGAGAGATATCCCACATCACAGAACCTTTGGCTTCATAGCTAGGGTCACTTGAGAAATTGACTCTGGTTCTCCTCTCTAGATGTCCCTGTGTATTTTTCTGACCTGATTGAATCCCCTTTGAAGGCACACCTAGATTGTCCAAGACCCCAGGCCACACCCATCACTAAACAAAACAAATAAACAAACAAAACAATAGTCTGTCTTTAATCTGGTACAATCTGGCTTTGAATTCGCTTTGTAAATTCACCAGGCTGGCCTCAAAGTTTCAGTGAAGTGCCTGACTCAGCTTCCTGGAAGCCAGGGTTACTAGAGTGAGCTGCCTGCCACAACTGACTGTGAAATGAGACCCTATCAGTGCAGGATGAGCAATCCTTAACCAAAACGTGTTGATGTATTGGACCACAAGTGATCTGGAGTTTGGATTATTTTGTTTTGTTTTTCGAGACAGGGTTTCTCTGTGGCTTTGGACCCTGTCCTGGAACTCGTTCTCATAGACCAGGCTGGTCTTGAACCCACAGAGATCCACCTGCCTCTGCCTCCCGAGTGTTGGGATTAAAGGCATGGGCCACCCGGCTGAGTTTGGATTTTTCAAAAAAAAAAACACTTGCCATATGTAGTAAGATACCTCAGCATAAAATCAAAATGTGTGTTTTACACATACCTTCAACCTTGAAAGTAATTTCATACAACATTTTACACCGTTTTGCCCATGAAATACAATTTCATGGGGTAGAATGTTCCTTCCACTTGTGGTAGGTAGCACATCAGTATGGGACACAGTGGACTATTGCTATCACTGGTGTTGCTAGTGGTAACTCAGACTTTTGCTTGCTTGATACTAGAAGGTGGCAATAAACAGTTACAGACAAGCCAGGAGTAGTGGCTTGTGCCTGTAATCTCAATACTCTCAATACGACAGGAACCAAGGCAGGTTTGCCTCAAAGTTCAGGCCAGCTGGAGCTACAAAGCAAGTCACGCCCTAAAAACAAACAAATGAAATGCGCACATATAAATGATTCCCAACTGGGGACATGGACACAAGATGTCCCCATCCCTGATAAGTAATAAATAAGCAGTTTTCTAGAATGGTTCAAGTGTTTTCTCATTAGCAGGAGCACCCTGGCCTCACAATCTTGGGAATGGATCCTGTGATCCCAGGGAACTAGAAGGTCTGGGGATTTGGTCGCTGTGTACTGATCTGTTATCGAATCTTTGTTCCAAAGTTGGGCTTGGCTTTATTTTTTTCAGGATTGCTTTGGAAGAGCATTCTGTATCTTTTACAGACAAGCACTATGAAATGAACTTACAAGGGACAATGAATTCCAGGAACGGTAGCACACGCCTGTAATCCCAGGATTTGGGGTGGATAAGACAAGATCTCTACCGGTATGATGCCAACCTGGGCTTCATAGAAATTCATAGTGAGACACAGGCTAATTCTGACCAAGAGTTTAAAAGAAGAAAAACAAACGGAACCAATCAAAATGGCAAGTGGAATTGGAAGGGCCTGTGAACACTTTCGTGTTGCTTTGAAGGGCAGTCTTATTACCCTGCCTGTAACCCTGCGCTGTTCTTTACTCTCAGCCATTTTGCTTCCTGGGCAAATTAGACCTCTCCCTGGGCCTAAGAGACAAGGCCTGTGCAGTGGCTCTGGGATGCTGGTCCAAGCTTTGGAGCCCAGGTAATTCCCTCTCTACCTTTATACCCAGCGGCTCACCTGGTGTGGGTGCGAATGCTTTTCTCAGGGTTGAGTTAGGAGAGATTCACTTCACTTCACACACCATCCTGTCCCCCAAACCTGGCTGGCTAACAGAACACTGGATGGTCTGAGCTCTCCTCACGATGAAGACCCTCCACCCCCTTTTCCATTTAACTCCAAACTAAACACCACAAGAACACACTATGGACGTCTGCTTTCTGCTGCTAAGCCCTTGGGGCGATTTGGGAATGTGGCAATCTGACCAGGAGGCTCGACTTCCTCGGTGTCTTTTAGTAAGCCTTAGTGAGCTGTGGAGGCACAGGAGCCAGGTAGAGTGTAGCCATAATAGGCAAGTGGGGTTGGGGGGGCCTGGATCTGGAGAGGAAGCTCCTGGAGGTGTGGGTCCTCTTGTGGAGTGGGGTGCCTGGGAGAAGAGGTAAAAATCGACAGGAACAGTGGTGACCTCAGGGCTGCTTAACTTGACCTTTGGAACTTAGTACCTTACTGGGTTGACATTCTACGGAGTGCTAAGTTTTCTTCAATAATGTGATTTGTGGGTAGGTGAGGTGGGAAGCCACTCATCATCACGCACAGCTATGATGTACAAGACATGCCTCTGTGTAAGCGCCTCCTGCTATCTGCTCCACAAACATCTGGACATCCCGTTGTTCCTGCTGTTATTCGGACCTCTCACCAGCCCACTCCCTTTCACTTTTCTTTGTTCTTTTCTGAAAATTAGCCTCTCAGAGAGGCCGGCAGGAGCTGCCGTGGACAGCCCACCTCTACATTCTCTTAACCAGAAGGTGGTAGAGGTAAGAGCCATGGCCACTGCCCAGCCCTGCCCCGGTAAAGTCCTGGTGGAGCCAGGCCAGCTCAGCTGGCTGGGGGGGATAGCTGGCCAGTGTCTGGCAAGAACAATAAGGAAGGTGGCTGGTGGATCAAGCAGGTCATGCATGCTCTGCCCAGCAGGACTACTTGGGTAATTGCTCAACTCTTCACTTTCCTCTAGTCCAAGGGACAAAAAGGTCGGTTGGGGTTTCTGCTCTCCTCCAGCAGGCCCCTGCCAGTGGGTCTCCTCTATAGCTGTGGGGTCTCAGTGGACAGCTGCAATGCATCCTCCCTCTAGTTTTCACTTTTCCAAGGGCTGCCTTGCCTGGTCGGCTAGTTTGGTACTCACGCTGCACGGAGAGGAGGGACATAGACAATGGGGCCAGAAAGGGACCCCCAAGCCCCGTGAGACAGCTCTCCACAGAGGAGGCTGTGCCAGGCCAAAGCAAGAAGTCTTCCTTGTGGAGCCTTGTGAAGGGCTTGGGTGTTTGCCAGGTGAAAGGTTCAGCGTTTAAAGGGATTGCATCCGCAGGCAGAAGGTGTTGAGCAGCCCTCTGAGTGATCATTTGGAGGAGGGGGAGATATTATGCCAATTAAGTCAAGACAATGGCGTCTTGTTCCCCTTGCTTGAACCCTGATGAAATTGCTTGTCCGGGGGAAGGAAAGTATTTCATTATTGCACCTTTGAAAAAGGATAATCCTTCGTGTATTTCCTTTCGGGGAGGGGGGTGTCTTTTGTTCTCATGTCTCTGATCCACACAGTGTTAGTTTCGGGGGAAGAACACGGTAAGGGATTTTGTTTTGTTTTGTTTTGAAGCATACGATTAAATGATGAAGCTGTTAGAAAAGAAGGACCCACCTCAAGTATTTTGAAATTAATAAACCAGGGGCATTATGGAGTGATCTCCTGGGGATTGCAGACTGAGGCCAGTAGCTCTGAAATCTCACCTGCTTCCCTGTGGAGAGGTTTCCAGGTGGGGGGTGGGGGTCCTGAGTGAGCTTTCACACTGGGCACCAGGGGAGCAAGACTACAGACACAACTTGGGTGGGTATTTAACTATAAAAATAAATGCTTTTACTTTTCTTTCAATTTTATTTTTTAACTTTATGTATTTACTTGTTTGTTTACTTATGGTTTTGGGGACCAGGGTTTCTCTGTGTAGCCCTGGCTGTCCTGGAGCTAATTCTGTAGATCAGGCTGGCCTCTAAATCAGAGATTCATTTGCCTCTGCCTCCCAAGGGTTGGGATTAAAGAAGTGTGCCACCACTCCTTTTTTTTTTTTTTTTTTTTTTTTTTTTTGCTATTTCAAAAATTTTAATTTCATTTTATGGCTGTTTTGCTGCATGTGTGTTGTATACCACAAGGAGCTACAGTGCATGGTGTGTGGAGGTGGATACTGGCTCCCCTGGAACTGGTGTTTTGGGTGCTTATGAGCAGCCAGCCATAAGTGCTGGAAAAGGAACCCAGGAGCTCCGAGAGAATAACAAGCCCTCTTAGGCATTGCCCATCTCTCCAGCCCTGGAATTAGCTTTCCAACTGCAGAAGTCCTTTGGACTGGCGAGATAAAGAATTCTGCAAGTGTCCAGGTCGTCTAACTCAACCCTCAGTACCCTGGTTACAGTGTCCCTGCAACCAAAAACTTGTCGCCTGCCAGCCAGCCTGCCTGCCTGTCTTATCAGTCCATTGCCGTCTTACTAACACAGCATTCAAGAATGTTTTGGGATTTGCTCTATCATTTATCCTTTCAGCACAAAGTATCAAAAAGAAAGTGTACTGGATTGTCTTTTGAAAAAATGATACATGACCGCTGAGAACAGAGTCCACACTAACAAGGTGCTTATCCTGGTGTGCCAGAGTTCTCAAAGTGCATCTGCTGCTCTTGATTCACTGGTAGGGAGAGGCCTTTAGTGTCCTTCTTAGTGCCCACATCAGAAACATGTAAGAAAAAAGAAATCAGAGGCAGAGTAGAGTGAGAGGACCTGGTGGCATTTTTGAGAAGGCCTCGGGACCTGAGTTCAGTCCCTGAACCACAAGGTGCAAGAGAGAGCCATCTCCTGAGAGAGAGTTGTCCTCTGGTTCCTATGCCTGGAACACCACACAGTCTCACCTTCGTGCAAACACCAAATTAAATGCAGGTGGGCATGGGTGCCGATTGACTTGAGGCCTAAAGTCATTCTCTGCTATGGTGTTCTTGAGAAGCCCCCTGGGAGAAGGCATTTCATAAAAGCAGGGAGGTGATTTTGTAAGTCTCAGTGGTTAGAAAACAGTTTCCAGCCAGGCAGTGGAAGTGTGCGCCTTTAATCCCAGCACTTGGGAGGCAGAGGCAGGCGGACCTCTGTGAGGCCAAGCTGGTCTACAGAGTGAGTTCCAGGAGAGGCTCCAAAGCTACACAGAGAAACCCAGTCTTGAAAAACAAAAACAAAAAACAGACAAAACAAAAACAAAAACAAACAAAAAAAAAACCCAAACAAAGAAAAAAGAAAAGGAAAAGAAGAAAAAGAAAATAGTTGGCATGCTGGGTTGTGTTGTAATCCTAACATTTGGGAGTTCAGGATTTCAAGGGGCCATCTTTATCTATCTGGGGAGTGTGAAATCAGCCTGGGCTACAGGATACTCTATTTAAAACAAATTAACAGACCACCACAAAACTGGGGCTGATGAAATGGGTCAGTGGGTTAAGGTGGTTGGTGCAAAGCCTGACAACCTGAGTTCAAGTCCCAGGAAGGAGAAAATTAACTTTTGCATGTACACACACATGCACGCGCTCACACCAATGTACATACATACACGGGTGCGTGTGCACACACATTAAATGTTATTCTATAAATGTGATTAACAAAATAAGGGGAAAGAACGCAGGAGTGAAAAAAAAGTCGTCTACTTTCAGCTCTGGACAACCTTCTGTGTGTGTATCTTTGATGCAGGGTGTCTCTGCAGCTCAGTCAGGCTGATAATCCTCCTGCCTCAGCCTCCTGAGTGCTGGAATTATAGATCCATGTCTCCATGTCCCATTTATTGTTCCTCTAAGGAAGTTACTGATTGATGGTGCATTTCACCATCGTGACAATAAGAAACTTCTTTATTTTATTTTATTATTATTATTTTTTTTTGATGGGGTTTCACGTAGCCCAAGCTACTAGATAGCTCAGGATGACTTTTAACCCCTGTCCTTCTAGTCTCTACCTCCAAATATTGGGGTTACAGGCATACACAATCATACCCTTGATTCTGTTTGCTTATTCATTAGCCCAAGCTGGCCTGGAACCCACTGTGTAGCCTCTGCTGGCTTCAAACTCCAAGAAATCCTCTTGCCTCAGCCTCTGAAGCCCTGGGATTGCAAATGTGAGCAGACATGCCTGGGCAGGAGAACGGACAGTTTCAGTGAGCTCAGGACTCACTCTTCCAGTTGGTAGCTGATGATGAAAAGGTTTTTCTTCCTGCTGAAGGGGCTGGAAAGTTCTTACCCTGGGTATCAGGACACTTCAGGATAATGAAAGCCGTAGCAATAAGCATGGTAACACAGCTAGCACTTACTTATTTTAGGTAATTTTTGAGACAGAGTTTTCCTTTGTTGCCCTGATTGGCCTCTAGGTAGTGTGTAGCCCAGGCTGCCCTAGAACACTCTAAGGAGCCAAGGATGACTTTGAGCTCCATCCTCCTGCCTCTGTCTCCCAAGTGCTGGAACTGCAGCTATGTACCATCACACCTGGCTTATGTGGTGGCGGGATTCGAACCCAGTACTTCATCTGTGCTGGGTAAGCACTCCAACAGCTGAGCTGCATGCCCAGCCTTCCCAACCTTTTATTTTGAGACTGAGGTCACTAAGTTACTCAGGTGGGTTTGCTTTTGAACTTGCTCTTACCCCAGGCAGGCCGTGCGATCCCACGGCCTCGGCCTCCGAAGGAGCTGCAGCCATAGATGGGTCCACACTGCCAGGGTTGGCTTAGCTAGCACTCACTCAGTCACACAAAGCACACAACGTCATTCATTCCTCTGAGACGAGGGCGCGCCGCTCAGGGTCACACAGCTAGTAAAAGGCGGAAGAAACGATTCACAAGTGGCGTGGTCCGACCCCCACCCCACTCCAGTGAATGTCAGTCCCGACGTGGAATGAGAGGTGTTTATTTCACGTGCACCTGTGCCGAGCCTGGCTGTGGTCTGCTAAGTGCTGAGTGGCTTTGTTCGGAGCGCTGGAGACCGCCGAGTGAGCAGACATGACCTTTGCCCTCATGGAGCCTCATTCTCTAATACACAACGAGACACATAAAATAAGCAAAATAAACGATCATTTATTTATATGCTAGCTATATGGTGGCATATGATGCAGAGGGAAATAAATGAGAAAACGGGCATAGAAAATGTGAGAAGCGGGAAGCGGGAAGCGGTGTGAACCCGGGCAGTAGGAGAGACCTCACCAAGAGGATGGTGGAGCCTTGTGTTGCGGTGTGTAGGGAGGAGGGGTTCGAGGCTAGCTTAGGCTACATTGCCCGGCTCTGTCTCAAGGAAACAAACCACCAGTAATAACAAACAAAAAGCCCCCTCTCTCTGCTCAAAAGGGGGGAGATTGGTGAAGAAGGTGAGGGCCTAAGTCATAGAGCCTTCTGGGAGAAGAAGCCAGGGAGACAGAATGAAGGAACAAGCAAGGCCCTGAAGTGGGATTGACCTTGCCAGGGATCTCCAATGTGGTTGCACACGCACTGGGCACACGTTTGCATTCGTATACGTATCCTCCTGTGTAATGTTAAGTTCTATTTATATTATTGGGGGGGGGGACACTATTTTCTTACAATTTGTATGTGGCAGCCAGAGAACAACTTGAATAGTTGCTGCCCTTCCTCAGAGTGTGTCCTAGATCTAGAACTCAAGTCTTCAGTCTTGGTATGTGCCTTTACCCTCGGAGGCGTCTAAATAGCACCAACCTCTCATACACTTTATTGAAAGATGTTGTTGCTATTGTTTATTTGGTTTTTGTTTGCCTTTTAAGTAGGACCTCACTTACGTAGCCCTGAATGAACTAGAACTTGCAAGATAGACTAGGCCAGCCTTCAATTTGTCCCAGTTTCTACCTCTGCCTCCCAAGTGTTGGGATTATCGGAAAGCACCAGCATGTCTGCCTTCTCCTGTGTGCTGTAAGTCACCCAGAGCTGCCTTGTAGCACCAAGTACAACATCAACTCTGTGTCAGTAGGTGCTGTTCTAAATAGTCTAGGGAATCAAAAGAAAAACAAGCCTGTACAAGTCCTTAGTCTACAAACTGTAGACTCCCAGGATGGGGAAGTTACTGGATGTAAGTCTATAGTTTATCCTGTACCATAAAATGTCCGGGAAGATAAGGCCTTTTCCAGTCTGTTTTCATCCGGTGGAGATCTTTTCTAAGGCAGCCCGAGGGAAGAACTTTTGCCACAAAACATCAATACCTAGAAATTCACCATTGTGCTGGAATGGAGGAAGGTGCATTGGTAGATTCTACAGTTGAATATTCCAAGGATGGGCCCTGAGATATGCAAACCTTGTTTCCAAAGGAGATAGGCTTATCAGGATGTTCTCACTGCTTCCCAGAGGAAGTGGGGAGTAGAGGATGGGGGATGGTTTGCTGGTTCAAGAGAAAGGAGGCCCAATCCAGGGGCCATGGTGAGACAGAGCTGAAGGCGACAGACACCAGGGGTGACCTGGGAGGGTACCATCACCATGGACCAGAATTGCTCAAGGACAAGGGAACTTTATCTTGATAGAATTTCCAGGGGACATTCTTCTTCTGGTCACACACACCCCTCCTATCAAAGTGCTCTAGACTTAAGACTTGACTGTCTTTATTTCTTTTTCTATTTTGTGTGCACATATGAGTGTTTTGCCTGCATGCATGTAAGTGTTACCACATTTGCTCCTGGTGCCTATGGAGATCAGAAGAGGGTGTGAATCCCCTGGAACTGGAGTGGTAATGGATGGTGTGAGCAACCGTGTGGGGCTCTGGAAGCAGAACTTGGGCCCTCTACAAGAGCAGTTCTTGTTTTTATGAGGCAAGATCTCGTTCTGTATCCCTGAACCCACAATTCTCCTGTCTCAGCCTTGAGAGTGCTAACATTATAGGCATGTGCCGCCACCACCACGGCCCCAGCCCTTGCCCACAGGGGTAGCCCTGTCCTTGTTGGGTTTTTTTGAGACAGCTTTACTCTGTAGTCTAGAACCTAGAATTCGCTATTACAAGTCAGACCGGATGGAAACTAACACCCCCCCTCCTAATTGCCAGAGGTACAGAACTATGCCATTACACCCAGCTACACTAAATTCTTTGAGGATATAGGGAAAATTTCTTGGTACTCAGGATGACTATAAGGCGCTGGGGAAGCCAATGGCCTAAAACAGAATGGCAACAGGAACTTAGGACATCATGGAACAGTCCATTTCATCATGTCCCTCCTAGGAGCTTTGCAAAAGAAAGAATTGTTTGGGCTTGTCTTATCTTTCTAGAATTGAACCCCAAAGGTTGAAAAGTCAGTTCACCTTGATTTCAACTTGAAGAGTCTTAATTTTTTTCAGCATTTGACTTCTTGTAGCGATTGAGTTTTCACATTATAATTGAAGGGATATCCTCTATTTGCCCAATGCTTTCCTTTTCAATCTTTTTAGACCAAGAATCTTGTACATTTCATATATACAAAGGTGGCTTTTCCTCCCCTCAATGACCAGCACAAGCCCATGCTGGGTCGTAAATATGTCACCGAGCTCAGTGTCCTCCCCTTCTTGGGTCCCTACACTTGGATCCTGGAGTCACACGTGGCATATGTTTTGCCTTCACTCACTGCTGGTAAATATGAATAAACGAGTGACTGCTGCTCACACATCAAAATCATTGCAGTGGGGTTCATAAACAACCTAAAACAAGGCCATCGATTGGAGCCAGCGCCTTCTGATTCCAATTCAGTATTTCCTGTGGGCCGGTG